GGGGATTACAATTGAGATGAAAAAAAATGTACAAAATGATGTAAAAATGAACTATTATATAAAAAAACATATATATGCATATACATATATATATTTACAGGGTCTTCCCTGATGGCACAATGGCTTAAAGCGCAGCACTACAAGTGAGCCACGGCTCCTTCAGTGCAAATTTGATCCCCAACCCCAGAGGTGATCCACAAGGGGCAGCAAACCTCTCCTGACCCGCCCACTGCTCCCCTCAGAGGTGTACTTCATCTATCTGCCTGTTCTGCTCCCCACTCTGTCTCTGGTGAACCCTCTCACTACCCCTGTACTTCTGGTCTGTACACCAGTTCTATATGCATAAGTAAATAAATCTTCTAAAAATATATTTCTGAGATCTTTTCAAACACTTCTTATACCTACAGAAATAGGTACAATTTACATCTGACCAAAATATTAGAATTATTATGAGACGAGTTTAAGATTTATTTATTTATGAATACAGAGCTGGGGTGCAGGCTGGAGGTGCAGGGGATGAGACAGATTAGGCAGATCTACTGAGGGGAACAGCACACAGATAGAAGAGCTGCTGTGCTATGTGGGTCACCTCCCTGGCCAGGGACTGAATTCATGCACAGTGGCTGTGGATAAACTTATACTGCTTCAACTTAACCCCTTGTGCTACCAGGGAGGTCCCAAGATGAGTTCTTTCTAAACATAGGCCTTTTTTCTAGCTCTTGCACTAAACAATGAGATGACTGCCTAAATACAATAAGCAAGCCAGACTGTTGACTATGAGACAACACAACTCAGCTGCTCCAAGGCAGGGTACCTGGGTACCTGGTCCCTCAGCAATTAAGACTTTAAACAACAACTGGATTTTAGTAAAAAAGTTCACTTAACATCAAAAAAAGAGAAAAGACACATTCTTTATACCAGGATTGGTTCAGAAATTTTTGGCAGTTTCTGCTTCCAAATCAGAGCATTGGAAGCAAAGCAGGAGGGTGGTTTACATAATGCCAAACAGACATGGTGCTAGAGACCAGTGATCCCAACAACAGGACTGTAGATCACCCAAGGAACTTCTTAAATATACATATCCCTAGATACCACACCTGGAAATTCCAACCTAACAGGTCTAAGGTGACACTTGGAAATATATAATTGCATTAAAACTATCAAGCGTCCTTATGCAGCCATCCTACAGGCCTGCCCCGGAAGCCAGACCTAGGCCAAGGCTTTCCAACGAAGTACAACTTGTCAATGGGACTCAAGTAGGTCCTTTCAAGTAAAGGTTTCATGAAAGCCACAGTAGATTGAGAGCCCTGCTCCACAAATACGATCTGAAAACTGAAATGCAAACAAATGGCCTTCACTTAAGACATTTCTAGAAGGTTATAGGAGCTGAACCACCTAGTCACAACAGTAAACCTTCTGTGAAAGCATGAACTATTGACAAAGTCATCCCAAGGTCTTCAAAGGGAGCCAGAGAAATTTTTTTCAAAGGTAATGACCAAAAAATAAGTGAACCTTGAACTTACTGTTGATGGGAATATGACACAGCCTTTACAGATCTTAAGAGCTGGTCCTTAAGAGCCTAGGAGAGCCAGCACCTCAGAATGTCAGCATGTAGGCATGGATATGTGTTTGCGTGTGTTGTGTATATGTGTATCTGAGGAAGAAGACCGCCTTAAACAAAATCATGCCCTCCTTTATAGCCTTTACAGTGCTGATACACTAAGTGATTTGGGTAGCTCACTAGCAAAGAGACTCGCAGAACAGGCACCTCTGAATTCCTCTGCTTGATCTTTCCACAGTGAAGTTAGTAATCTCTGTGGTAACAAATGGCACTCTTTTTAGGACCAAATGTACTTCATCGAAGAACATACTTAGAGCATTTTCAGTAAGGTAGGTAGGTAATATACCTACCTATATTAAAACCCTAACTCTGATCATTCTTGTCAAAGCAAAGAAAAGTAAATATGAGATTAATCTGAACACGTTACCTGTAATGGTTCTTGAAGAAAATCAGTTTGACTAGATAGATTTTGTTCTGTAGATGCTGCAAAGTGAAAAAAGAAATACAGTGAACTACTAAGGGAGTAAAAAGCTTATGCATTATAACTGGGTGGAAGCTAAGGCATGTACTTGACAATAAAAGCAGCAGTTGGAGGGTCAAGGTCTCAAGTCCATTATGAGCCATCTCTGAGCATTTTGAAGACTCAGAGGACTGTGAGGGAGTAGGAGACACCAGTTTCACTTGGAACACATTAAGACTTTTCCATTGAATGGGTAAAAACAGCACTGTAAGGTTTTTAAAAGAAAATAACTAAAAAGTAACTAAAAACAAAATAATTTAGGCACTTCTTTAAAAACTAAGACTTTTAAAAATAACTTAATAATCGTATCTGGAAGATAAAATCTGAGCTATTATGAATAGCTAATTAACTGATACACTTAAGTTTCAAAAAAACTGTCAGCTGAGTCATCGCCTTAGGATCTTTTTCTCTTTGATTACATCTATTAATGTTTTCCAATCACATGCATCAGCTTGATTTCTTCTTTAGTGTCCATCAATGCTATTCATTCCTCCATTTGTTGTCCTGACTTCAGTGGGGGGTGGCTGCAGCCCTCTCTTTGCAGGCCTACACTGCTCAAACATGGCCAGTGGCTTGTAGAGGTTGCTCCTTCCGGGGATAAACACAAATGTTGAAAAGCCTCCAGTCTGACATGTCATACCAGAGTCAGAACTAGACTCCAGCAGGAGTTACCACTGACCGCTGGCCCAGGATCACCAAGGCAATCTCAGTCACAGTCAGGACCCAAGCATCTCCACACTAGATTTACAGAATTGAAAGAAGTCAGCAAGTTCCAGTCAGAATCCACTCTAAGAATACAGAATATTGTTGGGCCCTCCCTGGTGACACAGCACTATGAACCAGCCAGAGTTAAAGCACAGCACTATGAGCCTATTGCAGCCACTGCAGCACGAGTTCGATCCCTGCCCAGGGGGGTGACCCACATGGGGTGGCAGACCTCTCCTGACCTACCCACTGCTCCCCTCAGCAATGTATTTCAGTACATCTGCCTGTTCTGCTCCCCACTGTCTCTGGTGAATCCTCACATCTCCCCTCACCCCCCGCATCTCTGGCCTGTACCCCAGTTCTGTATGTATAAATACATAAATCTTAAAAAAATAACAATATAGAAAATTGTGAGGAAGCAAAAAACTATTGGGCATGTGCAGTCACCCATTTGGACTTCAAAATGTTATCTGGTCAGTCAAACACACATCCTGGTGGTGTTTATCCACATTCAACTCTGGTAAGAGATGGACATTTAGAAGAAATCAGAACCCTTAACAATATCTATACTAAAACCATCTGTACAAGAAACAATTGTTAGGGCAGAGCTGTGCTCCAGATCTTAAGACTGATTTACTTACCTACTTGGTTCCCTGGAGTAACTGAAGGCGGCTGTGACAACTGAATTGCACTTGAAGGTTTGTCAAAATCCAGAACAGATTCCTAAAAACAAAATTTCACATGAGTAAATATTATTCAACAACTACTACCATTAAATCATTCATATTTCTCAAAATTTAACAACTATAGCTATCTAGCTACCTCAAAATTTTAATAATTAAGTTCTTATCAAAAAATTAAGTTAAAAACAAAATCTAAAGTAACTATCAAAACTTCTAATTTTGTAAGTGCTAAAACAAATCTCAATTCTTACTTGGAGGAGAAAACGCTCATCTTGAAATTGAAGCCTGAAACATAAGCATTAACCCTCACCTAGCCTGGACGTTCATTTCTATGTATTTGACCTGCATGCAGAACTAAGAGTCTTAGCTCAACCACTGAAGGAGTTCGTGCTAATAAATCATTCTCTTCTCAGAGCTGCCTATTTTGGTTCTCCAGATAGGTTCCCAGCATTCTGAATACTTAAACTATATACTTGGACCTCTTATTCTATTTCTTTATTTATCCTCATATAATCTGAAGCTAAGTAATTCCCTCATTTTGCAACAAGGTAGAGGGTGAGAAATCTGCAACAAATCATGTAGCTGGTGAATAGTAGAAGCAGGATTTAAACACAGAATTCCCAAGTTCAAAAATCTTAATTCACCTTCATCCATCAGTAATACACTATACTGAAATTCTGCGAGTCTGCATTTATCTACAGCTGTAGAACAAGTTTACAGACTTATGCAACTATAAACTCTGTGAAGGCAAAGCTTTCTCTACACAATGGTAGTGAACAGAATGCCAAGAAGGTGGGTTATCTCAGTCTGAGTGGGAGGTCTGTAGCTGCAGGAATATGGGCACACTGAGAGCTTTTTATGTGTTGAATTCATTTTATTATTCAAAAACAAAGGAACAGAAACCATCATTTTCAGTTTTCAAAACAAGAAAAGTGGGCAGAGAATTAAGTCATGTGCCTCAATATTCAGAACAGAGCCAAGACCACCCTATTAGAATCCAAGCTCTAAGGAATAGCCTTATTCTAGTGCTCATGCAGAAGCTGCAGCCCCGTATCATTTAACGTTCATCTCAGAATGACTCGTACTTGCATAAAATTGCAAGTTCCTTGAATCTGGGTCATCAGATCCTGCAATTTTTCTTTCCTGGATACTGGATCCTTCAGAAGGGTAGAGGAAGAACCCACAAGCTGAGGCATGGGCATAGGCACCTGCAAGAGAACCAATGATATTTAAGAGCACAATTCAAGCTCAGCAACCTAATAAGAAAACTTAGCTTATCAAATTTTAGTATCATCAAAGAAAAAACAATACTTACACATCAGACTCTTCAAAGGCAAAGAATTTCCACATAAATGCATTTTCCAAAATCTTTTAAACAGGTTTCCCCCTTCAACACAATTTAACAGAAATCTAAGATACCCTTTTTAAGATTTTTTTTTTTTAATTTGTGCATACATACAGAAATGGGATATAGGCCAAAGGTACACGGGTGGTAAGAGGATTCACCAGAGACAGAGTGGGGAGCAGAACAGAACAATTTACTGAAACAGATTGCTGAGGGGAGCAGTGGGCAAGACAGGAAAGGTCTGCTGCGCCATGTGGGTCAGTTGCCTGGCTGGGGATTGAACTAGTACAGAAGCATGCCGAAGCTTTGTAATGCTGTGCTTTAACCCATTGGACCACCAGGGAGGACTCAAAACATCCACTTTTTAAAGGGAAAATGTACTTCATTAGAGACATTAGCTACCACCTGTTCTCTGTAACAAGAGGCTACTGACAATCTGATACACCCAAATGACATTCCCCCCATAGTAAATATTATGACTAACATTTGAAACAGACACCTCAGTTTTTAAGATTTCAAATCATTAACATGTAAAAACATTCATGTATATCCCAGAATTGAGAAAACACCATATTTTGCTATAAAATAAGTATTCTTTGTGGCTATTAATGTTTTTAAGCTGTCGGTTTTCCTACTAGTTGAGGATTGCTGTACCCCCAAACATGACCTCTTGGTCACAGACCACCTCCTCCTCATAGCCTAAAGGAGGTCAGCCTCATGACTACTCTCTTCCACTTTCTCATTCACCACGAAGGTATAGGGTAAGAGGGAGGAGGTACCAAGTAAAAAGATAACAGATCCTACATGTGTATCTGAAAGGCTTTTAGGAAAAAAGTACAAATTTTAGTGACTAACTTCCCGGTATCTAATCTTGTGGCTCAGAACTCTACTTTGCCCTTGACTATACTTAGTCATGTTCTCAACAGCTGAGGTTGCAAGAAGACACAGACACCAAGATGTATACGAGCATCTTCTCAGTCGCGACAATGCTGCAACGTCAAGAGAAATTTTCTGTGCCTCAGAAGCCCAGTAAATGAGCATCGCCTTCCTGAGCAAGAACCCTGCTGTGAACACACCACTGCAGTCAGATGGGGCAGACACACCAACGCAGCTTTCCCAAAGCACTAAACTGAGTTTCTAAATACAAGTTTCCCAATGTAGTTGTCACATTCATAATGACCATAGTGTGCCATGTAGCTAATAAAATAAAGTTGCCCCATCTTCTGCAAGTTCCAAAAAAGTGTAACTGGAAGAAAAAAAGGAAGAAAGAAGCACAAAAGCAACAATTCTCTCCCCATGCAGCAGAACTGAGGTGCAGTGAAGATGTTATATCGATTTTCCAAGTAAAAGTTCGATCCTCCACTAAGGAGGTGACCCACATAGTATAGCAGACCTCTTCCTGTCTCACAGGCTGCTCCCCTCAGCAGTGTACCTTGGCAATCTGCCTGTTCTGCTCCCCACTGTCACTGTCTTACTCCCCTGCACCTCTGACCTGTATGCCAGTTCTGCATGCACAAATAAATAAATCTCTAAAATGTATATATATATTTCCCCCACACACACTGTTGCCAAAAAGCCTATGGCTGCAATGATGGGGAAGCCCCAATAAACACAACAGTAAGTCTGCATTTAAATAATGGCAAACAGAACCTCTCTGGTGGCGTAAGGGGTTAAATGTCTCAGCATTATAAAGTTATCGCCAGCTACTGCAGCACAAGTTCAATCCCTGTCCAGAGAGCTGACCCACATGGCATAACAGACCTCTCCTATCATACCCACTGCTCCCCTCAGCAGTCTACTTCAATAGATCCACCTACGCTGCTCCCTACTCTGTTTTTGGTGAATCCTCTCACCCCTCATACCGCTGGCCTCCCATACCCCAGCTCTTGTATGAATAAATAAATAAATCTTTAAAATAAATGGCAAGTAACTTAAATTTAATGAAGTTTAATAAAGGACCCATTAATTAGCACTGTATTCAAGAATATATTTATTATAACCTTTATTTTCCTAACATAGTTTTTTTATCATTAACAGAATGAGGCTTTGTATTTGAACTAGTCTCATACCTTAAAACCTAATTACGGGGCCCTCCCTGGTGGCACAACAGATTAAAGCACAGCACTATGAAGCTATCTGAAGCCACTGCAGCATGAGTTCGATTCCCAGCCAGGGAGGTGACCCACATGGCACAAGAGACCTTTCCTGTCTTGCCCACTGCTCCCCTCAGCAATCTGTTTCAGTAAATTGTTCTGTTCTGCTCCCCACTCTGTCTCTGCTGAATCCTCTCATCCCCTGGCCTGTACCCCAGTTCTTGTATGCATAAATAAATCTTTAAAAAAAAACCTAATTACAAAATACATAAAAGCCCATTTCCAGAAAATTCTGATTCTACAAGGAAGATAGAAAATTAATTCAGATCCTACCCCAACTACCAGAATATGCACCAACACCATATTCCTTCAGGGAGGACAGTTGAGTTGACTACAAATAAGTGTGAAAAACAAGTTGGCCAGGAAAAATGGCCTGTGCACCAAATGAAAGATGACAAGTGAAACCTCTTACATCCTCCACATGCAACACAAATCATCTTTTCCAGTTGTTCACATTATGGTCTTTTCTGAACTATCCATAACACTGATGTCTTATGTTCAAAAATAATTAAAATAATTCAGGTTCTCTAATTTCCCAATTCTCTAGGAAAGATAAATCTTTGCATCAAAGAGTTAAGTCAAACACATTATACAGTGTTTTGAGTTTGCTAACTATTTTTTAAGAACCAAAAAGTTAACACTGCCTAAGACAAAAGCAGAGTGACACAGCAACTCACATCTTTGGGTTCTGCACTCAATTTCCTGGGCAGGAGCTGGTCACAGGGGAGGAGGCTTACTGGAGCCACCCCCCAGGACTTTGTAGAAATCCGCGATGGTGGTAAAGCATATTGCTGACTCTCCACCCTGCTTTCCCAAGGTGCCAGGCTCTCCTGCTGTGTGGAGTCACGCTGTTCGCACAGGGGTGGGGTCCAAGACGTGGCAGCTTCCTGCTCACCCTGCAGAGGGGCCCAAGGCTTTGTTGTTTGTTTCTGTGGGTCCAGGTCTTTCTGCAGCTGCACAGGCCAAGACTTCCTTGGGTCCTGCTTCTGCTCCTCTTGAATCTGTTCTTCGGGTGCCAGGGTGCTTGGCTCCCACTGACCAGGAAGTGGTGTGGGCTTGGAGACATCCTCTGTCTTCTCCGGTTCCTGCAGAATGGACAAGAGTTTTGTAATCTCTTGTTTCCTCTGTTTTAAGGCAACTGCAGGCTTCAGTACCTCTTGGGATTCAGGGGAAGATTCCCATGACTGGAAGGATTCCTGTTTCTTCTTGGGACCATCTGGTTGGATCAGCACATCCCAGCATTTGGAAAGGTTTGGTTTTCTAGCATAATTTGCATCCCAGGATTGTTCATCTTGTTTGCCTGAATAATCTACTTCTGCCACGTAGCGTCTGTTAAGAAACTAGACCAAAGAAAAAAAGTGCTTGAATCACAAAATGTGTCCAAGATCTTGAGGGCAACATGTCGTTCCTTAGTATCCTGTGTCCCTGAGCCAGCAGGAAACATCTGTTTCATCTATTCAAAGACTGCCCTGCTCTCCTGCCCTTTTCTTTCCTTTCCTTCCATTAACAGATACAACCTTGATACTTGAAAAGGTGCAGCCTTCACCTGACTCAGAAGACAGACATCAAGTGATATATCTGCCTGGTTCAGGATCTTCCAGTAAAATAATTCCACCTCTGCCAGTCCAGGAGTATCCAGGCATTGGACTCCCTGACAACAAGGCTAAGGGGAGCTTGATTTCACTGCTGCTCAAAAGTCACCTAAAATAAACTTACATGTTATGGCTCCTGAATTATCAGCCCTTTCTTTTCATTACAGTAGCAACTACACTGTGGTTTTGCCTTGTCCGCTTCTTTTCAGTTTTCAACATCATTTAACAAAGATAACAAACACCCTTTTTTTTTTTACCAATATGAGTGAATCAGAGAGAAAGCAAAACCTTATAAAGCCATACTGAATTTTAGCACAAAGGCCAAAAACAACAGCAATAACCCCTAACACTTAAGTAGCTATTATGCAGCAGGACAAATCCTAAGTAAGTCAGAATTTAAGTTAGCTTCTTTCATCCCCATAAGCAAGCACTGATATTATTCCCATTTAAAATCTGTGAATAAAGACACAGCTGGGCTGTACACCCTGCGCAAAATCCTTAAGGGGGCGGGGGGGCTGCAAAGTCATGGTTCAAGTACATGCAGATTGGAACTGAGCCTCAGCTCTTAACCACAACATACTACACAAGGCTCACAAACCACAGTGAGCAAACTACTACTCAGGACCTTACCTCTTGTGGTTGTATCTCTGGCTGTGCATGTTCCATAAAAGATTCTGGGAAAATACAAGGAATATTAAATATTGGTAAGTGTGAAGGTTTCAAATTAATTATAATTGTGATCTATTCTTAATTATTTCAAAAGAGAAATAGTAAAAGAATCATATGGTATAATCATGGCAGAAATAACTGCTTGTTGGTCAAAAGCATAAAGTCTGAGGCTAGGTGAAGCTGATACTAAGTTCATTTTTGAAGACAAGTTAAACTTAAAAACTGATTTTCGATTAAGAAAATGAGTATCTCCTCCTCTCCAGTTTCCTTCTTTCTAGTGGGAACTGTAGCTGCAGTCCCATGTAAAAATTAGTGATCTCACCTTGAAATCGGCCTCACCTTGGCCAGCTGAAGATAAAGAGCAGCAGAGAAGCAGCATAAGACACTGAGGCACTGGGCTCAGTACAAAGAACTTAAGGGAGTAATAAAAGCAATGATTTGAATTTGCCAGGGGCCACCAGCACCCTGCCCAGAATACCTTCACAGAAGTGACATTTCTTAAATAAATGTAGCCTCAATGAACAAAAGCAAAAGTGCCACTTCCTCAGTCTTTCTTTCTCAAGAAAAGTGGAATTTTTAAAAGTTATTTCCTTCACTGATTTTAGAAATTTTTTTCCCTGAATAATCACATTAGCCTTAGTTATCAGCACTCTTGTTATACTAGTTTTGGATTCTACTTACATTTTAAACAATTTACATAGTTTCCTACCAATAATTTTAACCAGTAGTCTAACAAAGGAATTATGCTACTAAAAGTTTAATAAAAAGGATCTTTCAAATTCCACAAATGCTTCATTTTAACCAGTGTACTCCCTTGTAACAGCATAACTGAGTGTTTCTTTTAAGGTCCAATCCAGTACCAGAGCTTAGAAATGCTTCCTAAACCTGGTCTCAGCCTGCAGCAAGTGAAAATTCTCATGCACGTGCAACCTAGCAAAATAAAATGAGGTGATCATTCCACCATGACTTGATTCATCTTGATTAAGTGTAAAAATGCAACCACAACAAAGGACTATAGGGAACACCACCAACCTGACTCCGTCATAGACTCAGTCTTCAGTAATGGTTTTTTCTTGTCTGATTTTATCAACAGTCCTTCCTCCAATGATATTTCTTTTTCCTTACCATTTTTGGGAACTGGAATGCTTTCAAAATAGCCTGAGCTCAGCAACTTAGACAGTAGATCTTTCATGTGTTTGTCTAAGAAAGAACAATTAAAACTCAGTTATCACATAATTCAAAGTACACAGAAAACTATTTGAATAAAAATCCTAACATCATTTTATCCTACTCTTTCTATGTCATCACAACATTCTACACTACTAGAACTTACTATTACAAGTAACTGGCCAGTACCATGAAAAGTAAAGATGATTCATATTTAGGTCATGATAAATCAATACAAATTTGGAGGATCAGAATCCCAAAGATCAGTGAGTTAAGTTTCTCTGGGCCTTCACTAAAAAACTGACTGAAAACCACAGACTCTAACTAAAGCCTCTGATATATTAACAAAGGAATACATCTTTTCCATGAGCTAACAGAAAAGTCATTTCTTCTGTCTGCTCAGCCAGACAGAATAACTAGTAATTACTACCCCTTTCCTCCCCAAGGTTTTAGAAAACTAAAGGCTCTGCAAATACAACCATTAGAAAAACCCTATCTTGTACAATCTCATAAAGGATTTTAAGCTATAAGATTCCAAGATCAAGATATGAGTCCTTGAACTGGGGTACAGGCCAGAGGCTCAGGGCTGGTGAGAGGCTTCACCAGAGACAGAGTGGGGAACAGAACAGGCAGATCGACGAAGTACACTGCTGAGGGGAGCAGCGGGTGGGTCAGGAGAGGTCTGCCACACCATGTGGTCACCTCTGGGGCAGGCGGGAATCAAACTCCTGCAGAAGCGGCTTTAGATTCTCAGTGCTTTATCCCGCTGCGCCACCAGGGAGGGCCTGAAGTCTCGTTTTTAATAGCCACTAAAACCATAACTCCCAAATTTAAGTGGAATTTCTACACTTTAGATCACATTCCTTTCTCAGGGGTACTATAACATTCTTTTTTAAAGCAGTTTTGAGGTATAATTTAAGAAATGTAGTTGAGTTACCACCACCAGAACCACAATATAGATTATTTGCATCACCCCAACAAGGGTGATGTATTTATTTGTACATGCTCTTTGTAATCAGTCCTTCTCCCTCCTCCCTGGAGACCACTGGTCTTCTAATCACATCTCTGGAATTTCATAAGTATAGAATCATACAATATGTAGTCAATTTATGCCTGGTATGTTTCACCCTGCAAAATTAGTTTGCAATTCATCCATATTTTTGCATGCATCCACAGCTCATTCTTTTTACTGCTGAGCAGACTGCATTCTATGGCTATGCTACATTTGGGCTGTCAATTACAGACTGATGTACTCCTGGATTGTGTAAATAAACCTGCCATGAACACTCATGTTCATGGACTTACAGGAACATATGCTTTTTTTTTTTTTTAAATATTGCTTATTTTTTTTTTTTTTTTAAAGATTTATTTATTTGTACTCCTTGAACTGGGGTACAGGCCAGAGGCTCAGGGCTGGTGAGAGGCTTCACCAGAGACAGAGTGGGGAGCAGAACAGGCAGATCGAGGAAGTACACTGCTGAGGGGAGCAGCGGGCGGGTCAGGAGAGGTCTGCCACGCCATGTGGTCACCTCCGGGGCAGGCGGGAATCGAACTCATGCGGAAGTGGCTTTAGCTTCTCAGTGCAGTGCTTTAACCCGCTGCGCCACCAGGGAGGGCCCAGGAACATATGCTTTTAATGGTCTTGGGTACTACAAGTGCAACTGCTTTGTTTTTTAAGTGTACACTTAATTTTATAAGAAACTCCCAAACTATATTCCAAAGTATCTCTACCATTTGCATCAAGCCAAGAAATAAATTTCTGTAATTTAAACTTGAGCACGCTCAGAAATTTTGAAATGGCTAGTCATGTATTTTTTTAAAGGACGCAATCACTAATAACAAAAACGCTTTCCAGGTTCTAGTGTACTATCTTTCCTCTAAGCTTGTGCAAAGTACTATGTACTTCCTTTTCAGCCATTTGCTATACTTGTTTAGCCAAAGTCTATTTAAGAAGCCAAAGGGACTCTTTCTCTTCAGGTCACTTCCAGATCGAGAGACAAAGAGGCTTCAATAGACCATGTAGTCAAACTATTCATATTTTCTCAGGCAGGTCTGGGAGGTTAAGTCTTAATATTAACCATATGTGATTTTAGGATCCTTTATTAGAAAGACACTACTATGCAGAAGGGAGAACAGAATCCCCATGCATAAGTCAGCTCTAGCCCTTAGCTCTTAATCCCAAATCACAGTGGCTAGCCATGTCAATATTATCCCAGGTTGTATTTTAGTAAGGACTATTACACAGTCCCATCTTTTGGCAGAAATAAGCAAAGAGATCATCCTCCTAGTGAATGCAGCATTATCAGACATATAATTTCAAATGGACTGACCCAGTTTTTGAGGCTCTCATCGCGAACTAAACTCTAAACGTATAGTATTTGTTACTTAAGTCCAGAATAAAGGAGACTCACATGTCGTTCCTACCACTGCTTTCTCACTACCTTCCAAAAGGTCCCAAAAGTAAAGGGTTGACTGTTCCATCTGGTCTTCAACACTAACAAGAAAAAGCAGCAGCTTTAGAAAAACATACACATGGAGCAGTATAATGTACACAACAGAAATCATTATACTATTTGTACTCTTTGGAAATCAAAAACTAAAAATTCATAAAAATGAAAAAAGTGTCCATTTATGGATTTCAAAGGTAAGAATTATTCCTTAGACTAAAAGTTTACCAAATCAGTCATTAAGGCACACACCAAAGAGTTTAATAAAGTTGCCAATGCACTATCTTTCATTATATATTCTAGATGAAACCAAAGCAGAATGGAAATACTGTGATGCATTTGACTTTACAGAGAGCACCTGATTTTTTCCCCTATTTATTTATTTGTTTGTTTTTTTACATCACTCTTCATTTTGTGCATGTTTTCATCTCAGTTGTAATCCCCGTGGACTTCCCACCACCAGTTCACCCATGTGCCACCACTATAGTCCCATGCGCTTTTCCTATCCCAATTTTGATGAGAGTACCTGATTTTTCAAATTATGTTTCATTAAAATTTCATATATTCAAGTAAACTACATTCCCTGTGCCCATTAAAGTGAGGGAGAAGGTAAAGAGGCAATGATGATGGAAATTATAAGAATGGGAATTAAGTAATCATATATAGAGAGCTTTCTTAGTTCTCTTCTTAATATGGGGATTTTTACGGTGTGTTTTTTTTTTTTTTTTAAAGATTTATTTATTTATTCATACAGAACTGGGGTACAGGCCAGAGATGCGGAGGGTGAGAGGATTCACCAGAGACAGAGTGGGAAGCAGAACAGGCAGATCGACGAAGTACACTGCTGAGGGGAGCAGCGGGCGGGTCAGGAGAGGTCCGCCACGCCATGTGGTCACCTCCGGGGCAGGCGGGGATCGAACTCATGCGGAAGTGGCTTTAGTTTCTCAGTGCAGTGCTTTAACCCGCTGCGCCACCAGGGAGGGCCCTCCTTTTGTTTTTAATGAGAAACATGAAACTGCAGAGGTTCCAAAATTACATGTTCTCACCATACCTACTGCCAAATGGCCAGAGGGCCAATTTCTAGGAACAGCTGACATTTGACTCTGTTAGCATGGCTAACAGACATGAAATTGGAACAACTCGTTCCAAGCAAAGCAAAAACAGTGATCTGTTCATCAGCTGATTTACTCCATCAAAGTAAAACAGCAACTGGATAAGTGCAGCTTAAAATACTAACAAGCCTCCATCTGGCTATGCAATTTATATTACCAGATTTACTTCTCAGTATTACTTGCAACATTAAAAGCAGCAAGAAGTTAACGACTCTTGTGTAATACAACAGTCTGAGGTAATTACAAAAAAATTAAGCAAATATATCATCTGTATTATCACTAATACTGGCACAAGGCTAAAACCTGATGATCAAACTTTATTCTTAAAATCTTAATTCAGAAGCATGTTAATGAAGTTACTGACATGTTCCTTCTAGACAGCTGATCAACCCTCTCAGTCTGAGATGGCTACTTCCCAAGTTGAATGAAATTAATATTTTCCTAATGAGTTACTAAACACACATACACACATGCACACTCATAGATGTGAGGTTAAAGAGTTAGGTACTCTACTTTAGAAAAACATTTTCATTTCCTTACCTCAGATTTTCATTTCTCTCAGGGCAGGTCAGTTTTGAAAACTGAATGAGGTAGTCAAGTTCTCTTAAAGGCAGGTACATGGCACCATTCAAGCCCCCTTGGAAGTCTTTTTGTACATGTTCCCGTGCCAGGTTCTGTAATACATACTGAACTTGCAGTATTGTGCGAAGTTTTTTCTTCTCAGCCTCAAGTTTCAGTAGGTGCTCCCTTCGCTGGGCCTTCTTTTGCGCTTTAAGTAGCTGTTAAAACAAATGTTAATGAACAGATACGAACAAAATTTTACCAGCCCAAGTTAACTGATATTCCACAATGTGTAATTCCAATGAGTTGAAGTTAAGTGACAAATCTCTCACGTAGTACTGAAACTGACTTCACCAAACCCCCACATTCTCTTGCAGAAGTCTCTCAGAATAAGATGGTATGTCTCAGGGAACCGAAGCTGAGGGTCTGATTGTCAAGTTCGTGCTGTGTTTAGCGCCTCCAGTATCGTCATGAGACAAGTAAACTACCTATCACTGATGCAAGTGCCCCATGGTTGTAATTTTCCCTACTCACGCATATCAAATCAATGTTTAATTTAAAAAAATCAGTTTAGCTTTAGTGGACTTTTTAAAAACTCATGTCCCAGGGGAAGACTATTTAAACTGAAGTGATTAGTTTACAACCAAAGACTGGCTAGAGCATAAGGAACTTAAAACCAAATAAATGTCTTATAAATATTCCAGGGGACCTCATATGAGGCCTAGGGATTGTCTTACCACTATCACCACAACCACCCACCACAAAGGTCTGAGTTTGATCTCCCACCAGGGAACTGGCCCATGTAGAGAGCAGACCTGTCTCACCCACTACTCCCCTTAGCAATGTTTTTCCATAAATCCACCTGTGTTGCTCCCAACTCTGTCTCTGATGAGTCCTCTCACCCACCCACACCTCTGGTCTACCTCCAACTCCTCTATACAAAAACAAATTAAAAAAAAAAAAATGCAATGCCAAATATATAGACACAGCAAACATTTTTAAATAAATGTTTTCCTAATTGTCAGTCTAGATAGAGCTGCATCTTCCAGTATATGGTTAACAAAACACATACAGAAAATTAGTGGGACCATGTTTTCCCTGCAATAAATGTTTGTGTAGATTAAGAAACCATGAGTCTACTCAAAATTCAGACTGAGGCCTCCCTAGTGGCTCAAGGGTTAAAAGTCACTGTGCTATCAAGCTATTGCTAACACCAAGCATTGTGGCATGAGATCAATCCCCAGCCAGGGAGCTGACCCACATGGTCCAGTAGACCTTTTCTGCTCACCCACTGCTCCGCTCAGCAGTAGCTATCAGTAGATGCACCTATTCTGCTCCCCACTCTGGTGAATCATCTCATCCCCACACCTCTGGCCTACATCTTGTATATATAAATAAAGCACTATTTACTTGCACTGAAAAAACTAAAAGGTCTTTTCTCACCATAGTTGTTTTCTGGTTGTAATGTTTTTATCATATTGGATATTTTCTAAGGTATGAAGACTAAGATAAAAACAAATCTAAAAGATTTTCCTAGGCTACTGATATACAACATCAATTATTTAAAACTCTGTAATACAGATGTTCATATATCCTAATATATTAAAGATTGAGGGTAGAGGGAACTCAGGGGAAAAAAAAGATTCATTCTGGCATTAATTCCTTTTTAAAGGGTAAGAAGGCAACTTAAAAAAAATCTGACTTCTGCTACTATCAGAAGTGACAATATGAAGGAAAATAATATTTAGAGAATGAGAAATAATCCCCCTGGGATTATTTCTCATTAGGGTTAGATGGACAAGGATATTTTCTTCAAGACAGCAATATGCAGAAAAGCTTTTATCCAGAATGGTGATGCAATGGGTTAAACCACAGCACTATGAAGCTATCCACAGCCACTACAGCCTGAGTTCAATTCCCTGGCCAGGGAGCTAACCCACTTGGTGCAGCAGACCTCTCCTGTCTGGCTCCTCAGCAAGTTTCAGCAGATCTGCCAGTTCTGCTCCCCACTCTGTCTCTGGTGAATACTCTCACCCCCCATACCTCTGGCTTGTACCCCTCTTCGTGTATGTATAAATAAATCTTTAAAAAGTCTAGAAATATTTAACATGGAATTTACAAAACATACTAAAATTAATGAGTGAACATGAGGTAAAATATGCTTTTTAATTTGTGTATAAAATAGCTAACATCTTAGTCTTAGCAGGTAGTAGAAGTATCCAGAAAACAGCTGACTGGTGGCTATATTCTGGGCTGTTTTATGAGATGCACACACTGCCTTTGGAGCATTTATGAAGTCAGGCATCCTGAGGAGGGTAGCTTAGGCTTAAATGGGTAAATGTCTTCAGCCTAGACATAATGTTAAAGGTTGTGGGGTTTCTTTTTCACTCCGTTTTTTTGGTTTTAATGCCAGAGGAACAGAAAAGAAAATTTTAGTTCACCACACAAGAATATCCAACTCATTAGGTATGCTCCCTACCCCAGAAGTTGATATACAAAAAAGTCAAAATATGATCCTTAAAGCAAAGGTGGGTGAAACACTACACAACATATACCTCAGTAACATCTTTAAAGATACAACACCCAACACACAAGGATAGTGAATGAAAGGATAAACAGTTGGTACTACATCAAGTTAAAGAGCTTCTGTACAGCAAAAGAGATGCCACAAAAAACAAAGAAATTTTCGCACACAATACTAATAATAAAGGATTGATCACAAAGATATACAAAGAGCTGATGAACCTCAACAAAAAAAAACAACCCCATCAAAAAAAGGGGAAAGAGCTAAAAGGGAAACACTTATCCAAAACGGAAATGTAGATGGCCAACAAGCATATGAAAAAATGCTCAACATCACTCATAATAAGGGAGATGCAATGGATACCACCTCACCCCAAGAGAACGGCACATCTTAAAACAACTAGCAACAACAAATGTTGGTGAGAATGTGGAGAAAAAGGAACTCTCCTACACTGCTGGTGGGAATGCAAACTAGTACAACCACTATGGAAAACTGTTTGGAGGCTTCTCAAATTGCTGAACATGGAGCTTCCATATGACCCAGCAATCCCATTCCTAGGGATCTACCCAAAAGACACAAAAACACTGATTCAAAAAGACACCTGCACCCCATATTTATTGCTGCTTTTTTTTACAATAGGAAAGACATGGTACATATGCACAATAGACTATTACTCAGCAATCACAGAAGATAAACTCATGCCTTTTGCAGCAACATAGATGGAGCTGGAAGGGATCATGCTTAGTGAAATAAGCCAGAAAGAAAAAGAAAAAGAAAAATACTGACTGGTTTCACTCACAGCAGGAGCATAAAGGACTGGGGGTGGGGTGGGGATGGGGGAAAACAATAAACAACTATATACCAAAGACATTTTACGGGGGTGGAGTGGGGAATGGGATCAAAAATGGGGTAGGAGGTAGTGCACAGGACTATGGTCATGCCACACAGGTGAACTGGTGGTGGGAAGTCCACAGAGATTACAACTGAGATGGAAAATGACAAAAAATGATGTAAAAATAAGCTATTATAAATTGTTTTAAATATGTATGATTCTTAAAAGGCCTCTGGGGCTAAAATCCTGGAAAAGTGAACTATATTTCACTAATAATATATGAAACTTCCTATTAATGACTAAATCTGTCAGAGATAAGTTTGTATCACCACCACACAGAGACCCTAACAAGCAGTAAGATCAGATTTACATCTAAATCTGAGTCATCAATTTTCCTGATTAAAAACTATCAGACTCTCAAGAAGAGTCTATCAATTCTGTTTCTTAATATGTTTAAAAAAGTTATATTTACAAGCCTGTTTTCTAAAATATCTATAATATGTCTGTAAAAGTTTTCATTGCCCTTTGCAAATGTCCCTGTATTCCAAAGTGAAATGACATGCATTAATAAAACTCATTCACAATGTCAGGAAAAGAAACCATACTCACATCCTGGCTCAGTCCAGAAAAGGTTTTCTGAAGCTCTTTGGCAAATTCCAAGTTATGAAGCACTTCTTCATATTTTTCTACTGCTTCCTACCAAATAGGAAAAGAAAACATCATTAATATCATTTCCATGAACTTCAAAATAAAGTTTTTATTACAAATGGCAGAGGAGGGGTGTCCCTGGCAACACATTAACAACAGCACTATCAACCTACCACCAGCTACTGCAAGCATGAGTTGATCCCTGGCCACCAAGGGAGCTAGCTAACTTAGATGGGACAGCAGAACTTTCCTGCCTCACCCACTGCTCCTTTCAGCAGTGTGTTTCAGTAGAGCTGCCTGTTCTGCTCCCAGCTCTCTCTCTGGTGAATTCTCTCATCACCCACACCTCTGGCTTACACACCAGTTGTTGTATGCATAAATAAATCTTTAAAAATAAATCAATAAAAACAGTAGAGGAGAACCCCAGACTTTATGAGTAGTCATTTACTATAAATACTCAAAAAAGTAAGGGAAGTTAAATAGCTACATTAAAAAAATCAATTTTTAAAGTAAAAGTAGGGTCTTTAAATTCCATACATCTGAATCTTATCTATAAATGTAAGCTTAAGGAGGCTAGTGGGTTTTTTTTTTTTTTTTGAAGATTTATTTATTTATGCATACAAGAGCTGGGGTGCACGCCGTAGGTACAGGGAGGGTAAGAGGATTCACCATAGACAGAGTGGGGAGCAGAACAGGCAGATTAACAAAGTACATTGCTAAGGGGAACAGTGAGCAAGACAGAAGAGGTCTTCTGTGCCATGTACATCACCTCCTTGGCCAGAGATCAAATGCAGTGGCTACACATAGCTTCATAATGCTTTGATTTAATGCCTCATGCCTCCAGGAAGTCCCAGGCAGTGGGTTTTAAAAGCCAAGCCCTCCCTAATGGCACAACAGGTTGAAACGCAGCACTGTGGATCTACATCCAATGACCAAGTGATGGTGATGTTTCCACTCACCTCTCTCCAATCCAGAGACTTGCCACAAATTCCTGTCAGAGCCTCAGCACCAGCCACTCTCATCACTGACCTAGAGGACAGCTGAGCCTTCTGTCTCCTACTTCCCATATTCACCAGCGTCAAAGCATCCTTCACACTGCAAGGTGTTATTTTTAACTACAGATCTATAGATATCCTCTAATTAAAGCAGCCCTCTACCACTTCTAATGTCCTCAAGGGAAAAGCAGTCTTTAAATGAAATAAGAGCAACATGACACAGCCAGCCCTTCCAGCTTTATCACTCTATCCTTATTGGCCACCTTCCCAATTTCTTAGAAAAGTTCTTGATAAAAAAAATTCTTTTCCATCTCAGGGCCTTTATACATGCTAACACCTTCCAGGCCTGTTCTTCCTCCTTCCCCACTTTAACTAGCTAAGTTCTATTCACTTCTTTTCAAGGAAGCAGTCCTCAACTCTCCAGACTAGGTTAGAGCCCTTATTATAATCCATTATAATTCTGGACTTCACTGTCTTAACATCCATCGATTTGTAACTGCTTATTTCCTGCCTCTGTTTCCCATAATCTTATATCCATGAGGGTTAAGGATTACTTTTGCTTTCTGACTGTAACCTTAGCATTAATCACAGCATTTAATATACCTTGGTTGAACAAATAAAAGGTAGCTCAGAACATAATCTACAAGAATCTAAAATATGCTAAGCATTATAAACAGAATTAAAGTCTTATAATATGATCATATACTGATATTTCTGTTTTAAAAAAATAACACTAGCAAGAACACGACTGGGAAATTAGAAATGGTCTCAGGGTTTCAAAACAAGTTAATTAGGTGACTCTTGTAACCTGTAGGCTGGCCCTAGTTATACCAATAGCAGTGGGACTATACAGAAGAAAATGTTCCCTATTACAGAGTTTAGTTTACACACATCATGGAACATGGTTCGGAATTTAACGAGATCGGTAACAAATTTAACAAAAGAACCTCCAATGGGGTCAAAAACACCACTTGCCCCTGATCTTTTGCTCAGGCACTCTCTTGAATCTCTGTTCTCCACTTCAAATCTATGTCTATGGTGGCAGTTTCAGTGAACTCTGTAGTATAGCCTCCACAGATTAAGAGTTGTTAGTAACAAAGGTCACAACAGCCATGCAAGACCACACAAAGCTTCATTTACAGTATATTACAAGTACAGTATAAACAGTATTTACAAAACTTCCCCAGCCAACAATATAGAAAACAAAGCATCAAGCCCAAAACATACAGCTAAAGCAGTCCCTAGAAGGAAAATTCATATATCAAAGGGGAAAAAGAAGCAAGTAAATTAGGCACTCAACTCAAAGTTAGAAAATGAAACAAATAAACCAAAGAAAATCAGGAAGATAAAAGTAGAAGAGAAAAAAAAAAAAATCCAAGAGTTGCTTATTAAAGAAAAAAAATACTACCTAGCTAAGAGTAAACTGAGGGAGCCTATCTGGTGGCCTAGGGGTAAATTAAGTCTCAGTGTTATCACCACTACGCCTGTTCGATCCCAGCCAGAGAGCTAACCCACAAAGGGTAGAGCAGGCCTCTCCTTTCTCACCCTCTGCTCCCATTAACAGTATATTTCAATCTGCTTATTCTATTCCCCATTCTATCTCTGGTAAATCCTCTCACCACCACCCCACCCTGGACCCCTGGCCTACACCCCAATTCTTCAAAGCAAACATTAAAAAATAAATAAACCGAGAAAACAGAACAAGTTTTTTGCTTCAATCTGTACAAATTTTTTTTTACGTTTTTATTTATTTATGCATACAGAACTAGGGTACAGACCAGAGGTATAGGAGGTGAGAGGATTCACCAGAGACAGAGTTGGGAGCAGAACAGGCAGATGCACTGAAACACACTACTGAGGGGAGCAGTGAGAGGGCCTGAAGGGGACTGCCATGCCATGTGGGTCACCTCCCTGGTGAGGAATCAAACTGGTGCTGTAGTGGCTGCAATAGCTTCAAAGTGTTGTGCTTTAACCTGTTATGCCACCAGGGAGGGCCCAAATAAAGATTTTAAACTGGATGGATGAAGTAATTTTCAAGGAAAAGTTTTGAAAATTTGTCCCCAAAAAATGAAAACAAGAATTAACTCGATTTCTAAAGATAAAATAAAGAATAGTCTCAAAAGTATGTGGAGATTTGCCATACTTTGTTCGACTTTGCTGTGAACCTCAAAAAAAAATCAATGATTTTAAAAAGGACAAAAATAAATATTCCTAAATATATGTGTATGTATAGTACATAAAAAGTTGTATAGTACATAAAAAATAGAATGGGAAGAAGCAGCAGAAAAGAGAAATATTTGTTTACATAGGCTTAAAGAAACTGAGCAGATACATAAAAATCTACTGATCATTATTTAGTACAATTAGAACTGAACAAAGAGAAAGTGAAAGAAAAAACTTCACCTTTTAAAATATTTTCTAATTTCTGAACTACAAGATTTTAAAAACTTAACAGATTTTTACTATACTTTATTACTAATAACATAGTAAATACTATATTACTAGTTACAGTGTTGAGGGGTAAAATTACAAGATCTTTTTTATTCTGACATTACACTTTCCATGTCTTTAATTTAAAAATGCATTGTTTGTATTAGATGCTATTCTCAAAAGCACTACAAACTCTTTGCTTAGTCACACCTAAAACCCTAATACCCAGTATTTTAGGGTATTTTATCATTAGTAAATTTAATAATAAATATTTTACATATCTACTATGTGTTATATACAGTTCTAACTACTTGGAAAACAGCAATAAATAGACAAAACCTGTACTTTCATGGAACTTATGCTGCAATGGAAGTAAAGACAAAATAAAACTGAAGTCTGTTTGAAGTATTAACTGCTATTAGGGAAATACAAGTTTGAAGGGAGGTAAAGAGTGAATGGGGAAATGGAGGTACAGTGCTGTTGGGAAAGGGCTTACTGAAATGACCTCAAGTAAAATAATCAGGGAGATTGAGAATTAGCCATGAAGACCTGGGAAAGAACATCCCAAGTTAGAGGAAAAGAATAACACAAGCAGAAATCTTCAAGTAGAAGCGTGCTTTACATGTTTGTGGAATTTCAAGGTTAATGTAGCTGTAGGAAGAGAAGTACTAGAAATATAAAGGAGATGTAAAAGAAAGTGAGCAGCAGCTGTCTGTGCAGGGCTTTGTTGGCCACAAAAAGGATGATGGATGATACACTGGCCTGAGGGGAACCAATGGGGACTTTTGAGCAGAGGAGAAACTTGCATCTGAACAGAATTTCTGAGGCTACTATGCTGAAGACAGACAGAAAGTGCAAGGGTCTGTAGAAAATGAATAGTCTGTGAGGAAGCGCTCACAGAATGCACAAGATGAACTATATGTCTTAGACCAAAGTGGCATAAGCAGAATTGAAGGAAATGGTCGGTCTCTGGAGTTTGTAAGCAAAACTGACTACACTTGCTGATGGGCTAGACGTAAAGCATTAGGACAAAGAAGAGAAATTTTCCACTGATAATTCCATTCTTCTAGCTCATCAAGTTGGTCATCAAATGAACACAGTTAAGATTAAAGGAGCAACTTCTTTGAGAGTCTAGAGGGGGAGAAATGCTGACATTAGGAGATGTCAAATAGGTAACGGAAACAGTAATCTAGAGCTCAAAGGACTGATCTGCTGGCAATACAACATCAGCAATTATCTGATTCTTACTCGAGAAAAATTCACACAAAAGAAGCAACATGTGGTAAAGACAGTATAATACAATACAATGAATGTTTGCCTGGCTAATTCTGAAATACAACATGTCCATGCTACTTCTGAGAGAGCTACCATGAGAATCAACTAACCCTTCATTCCTAGCAGGTCCCCAATCCAGAACATTACGGGACAGCACAATTAATAGAACAATTTAACAGAACAGGGCCCATCCTGGTGGCACAACAGGTTAAAAGCACAGCACTAAGAAGCTAAAGCCACTTCCTCATGAGTTCAATTCCCAATTGCCCTAAAAATGACCACATGGTGTAGCAGACCTCTCCTGACCTGCCCGCTGCTCCCCTCAACAGTGTACTTCATCGATCTGCCTGTTCTGTTCCCCACTCTATCTCTGGTGAAGCCTCTCGCCACCCCTGAGCTTCTGGCCTGTACCCCAGTTCTATATGCACAAATAATTAAAAAAAAAAAAAAAAAAAAAAGCTCAGCACTATGAAGCACATGTGGCAGACCCCTCCTATCTCATCTGCTGCTCCCCTCAGCAGTATACTTGGTCTATCTGCCTGTTCTGCTACTCACTCTGTGTTTGGTGAATCCTCTCACTGCCCCCTGTACCCCTAGCCTGTACCTCAGTTCTGCATGCTTAAATAAATAAATCTTTAAAAAAAAAAAAAAAGGAACAATTTAACAGAACAATTCCTAAAAGGATATTTAAGCAAAGAGGCATTTTATCACTTTAGAAGTTATTAAACATACCACCACTACTTTGGGGGGAAAAGCCAACCTGAAATGCTGGTGTCTAGTTAACTGTGACACCAGGTAAGTAAACACAGCATTCCCAGGACTCACATCTGTACCTCAGAAAATTATCACTTACTATATCACAAAAATTCTAGATCAGTGAAGAAGCATCAACACAGCGAGAAAGTCCTTGAATGCCAGTACCCATGAAACACAACAAAAAACCTTAAGTTGAAAAGACATCAGATCTACAAGCAGGATCAAGTAATGTTTAATTAATTGTATTCCTTAGCAAAGGTCCATAAAACATTTTTTCTTTCCATATTGCAGAGATGCAATTACCACATATACTGCAGACAACTTAAACAACGTTAACTAAAACTTTAAGTATTAAACTACTTATAGTAGTTATAGTAAGTTTTAAACAAAAACAAAAAGGCCAGATATCTAGCTAATAAACCTCCTCTTTAAAGGCATATGAGAATCCAGGAGAAACAGGGTTAAATCATAAAAGGAATTAAAAAGGGAAGGAAAGGAAGAAAACCAAAGCAAACTACAGTAAATGTTCTTTCAAATTTTAGAGCAGAAAGGTGTGGTTTAGGTTTTCCAGTGAACAGCAGGAAGCTAGAGTATTATTCTTCTCTTCTTTCAGCCTACCCTAGTGTACAAATAAATTTAAGTCCCTGTTAACTCTTTTAGCAACTGTCTGCATTTTTACTCTTTTTTTTTTTTAAGATTTATTTATTTATGCATATAGAACTGGGGTACAGGCCAGAGGTGTAGGGGCGGTAAAAGGATTCACCAGAGACAGAGTGGAGAGCAGAACAGGCAGATCAACGAAGTACGCTGCTGAGGGATGCAGCAGACAGGTCAGGAGAGGTCTGCTGAGCCCTGTGGGTCACTTCCAGGGCGGGTGGGGATCGAACTCATGCTGAAGTGGCTTTAGCTTCTTAGTGCTATGCTTTAACCCGCTGCACCACCAGGGAGGGCCCATTTTTACTCTTAACAATACTCACTCCCATCTACTCCACCCATTAGCGCACAAGAAAGCAGTCAAACCATGAGATCTAACAAAGCGTTTTTAACAAAACAAAGCATTCTGAAAAATCCAATGGCATTGCTCGTATTTTAGGCCTGTCAACTCTCTGGTCTACATATGACAACCAAGAATATCTGATTAGACTTTATGTGCATGAGAAGTAAACTTCTATTGGAGTTAAAATATTATATTTAGACTTGATTTGTTAAGCAATTAGTACACCATAACTACTATCTAGTCATGACTAGGTTATTTTGAGTTCTTAAATTTTACTCACTTTTTCAATAAACAGCTTTTTTGAGATATGACTCATGCACTGAAATAGTACAAATAGGGGCATCCCTGGTGGCGCAATGGGTTAAAGCACAGCACTATGAAGCTATCCAAAGCCATTGTAGCAAGAGTTCAATCCCTGGCAAGTGGAGTGACCCACATGGGGTGGCAGACCTCTTTTGTCCTGCCCACTGCTCCCCCTCAGCAGTGTATTTCAGTTGATCTGCCTATTCTCCTCCTCCACTCTGTCTCTGGTGAATCCTCTCACCCTCCGCACTTCTGGCCTATACACCAGTTTTGTATGCATAAATAAAAATATCTTTTTTTAAAAAAGTACAAATATTATGGTGATGGCACACGGGTGACTTGGTGATGGGAAACCCGCAGGGATTACAACTGAGATGGAAAAAAAAAATGTACAAAATGATATAAAAATAAACTGTTATAAAATAAAAAAAAATCTGACACCTATTAAAAAAAAAGTACAAATAAAAAAAATTTTTGGTACAATGAATACCCCTAAATCATTTTATTAAGAAGAGGAAGCTAACCAAGTCTGACTAAAGGATTACAAACCACTTACCAACTGGTCTGGATTAAGTTGCTCTCCATTTTTCAGGCGATCCTTGTAATCTTCCAGTTTGAGCTACAAAAGAGAAACTTGTATTTATTATGATATAAAATACTGAAGCAAATAAATAGCAGACTGTGTCTTAGTAAAACAAAAATCCTTGAAGTACATATTAATCTCTAAAAAAACTATTACTACAAGCAGGCTGCATTTGTGGCAGAGTTCCAGTCAGGGGAAAAAAAGTCACATTCAACCAACCCTAGTCTAGAATTAGAAAAGTTAAGCAGTAACAAAATCTTTTTCTCTTAATGAACTCTATAATTAACACAGGGCCTTAACTGGTCGATCATGTGCCCCTAAACCAGTGATGTTCAAATGGGGCAATTATGTTCTCCAGGGAAGTGTGGCAAGATTTTTAGTTATCACAACGTGGTAGCATCTGAATGGAAATAGAGGTGTTACCAGAAATCTGGGAGTAGAGGCCAAAGTGCTGCAAAACCTTCTATTATGGACAGGACAATAACCATGACCAAAGAATTATTCAGTACAAAAATTCAATGTTAAAGCTGAGAATCTGTTCTGATCACAAGTGTATCTATTGGATTAGATCAGCCTTACCTCACAGGAGACTCACGGATGGTAAATAATATCCTTTCTAGCATTTAAGCAACTTCAACCTACAGCTATTTTTCATGTAAAATCTGATATTTAAATAAACACATGACAGATAAAATACATCTGTCCCTACAATGACATGATCCACTATGGTGTTCTGTTTAGGCTTCTCCCACATCAGCTTTATAGCTTCAAAAAGAGCTCCCAGAAGCTTGAAACAGAAGCACTAGTACTGTTTCAAAAGATCAGTGGGAGCTAGGGCTATAGAGCAGCTCTGGAAATATATGAGTCCTTCTTCACTACCTTCACTGTCTTCCAAGCACATAAAAAAGAAAAAAGAAAGCTAACCAGGGACCCTCCCTGGTACTGAAACGGGCTAAAGCACAGATTACGAAGCTAGCCACAGCTACTTCAGTACACATTCAATCCCCAATCAGGGAGGTGACCCACATGGGGCAATAGACTTCTATCTCACCTGTTGCTCTCCTCATCAGTGTACTTTGGCAATCTGCCTGTTCTGCACCCTACTCTGTCTCTGGTGAATCCTCTCACCACCCCTGCACCTCTGGTCTGTACCCAAGTTTTATATGCATAAATAATTTTTTTTAAAAAAGCCAACTAGCCTTTTCAGGATCTCCTTGTTCATTTCCACTAACTTCTGTAAGGTATAATTTGGTCTTGCCATTAAAAATATTTTAAGCAGGGCCCTCCCTGGTGGCACAAGGGGTTAAAGTGCAGCACTATGAATCTATCTACAGTCACTGCAGCCTGAGTTCGATCCTCAGTCAGGGAGGTGACCCACATGACGTGGCAGACCTCTCCGGACCCACCTGCTGCTCCCCTCAACAATGTATTTCAGTACATCTGTCTGTTCTGTTCCCCACTGTCTCTGCTGAATCCTCTCATGTCTGCACCTCTTGCCTGTACTCCAGTTGTTGTATGCACATAAATCTTTTTAAAAAATAGTAATAAAAAAATAAAATATTTTAAGAGTCCATAAGATCCAGCCAGTTTTCCCTCACTTTCCTTTCATAAGCAAAAGAAAATCAGGACACAAAGCAACATCACAGGCTCCATGACTCAGGAAATGAAGAATGATTTCCATCTTAACACCAGCATTTACTGCAACCTTAGGCTGACCATAACACCAAGTTTCTTTAGAAGACTTTCTCCATGTTTTCAGCTACCATAGTAAACAATCACCTAGGAATGCAAAAGTGAGTGCTAAAGCATTTTCTGGCTCCACTATAGGAAGAGCTTCCAATGACTGCAGTAGCTTAGAGCGCTGATATCAACCACTGCAGAGCCAAAAGGAAATAAACTGAAAAACTCAAGGCTATTTTCATGTATGAAAAGAAACAAATACAACAGTAATTAGTCTAATGCCCTAAAGCAGCTAGCTCTTCGAGCATTTCAAAAGTAGCATGGATAAAACCATAGTATAAAGAATATTTTCTTGCAGCTACACTGGAAAATCCAATGGAAAACCTTTAAAATGCCCAATATTGGCCTATTGGTATGGTTTCAGACAGTTAAAGTCCAAGTTCAATTTCAGTGAGGAATACCTATGACCCCTGAAAGAAAGAAAAAAATATGAATTCCTTAACCCTTATTAAGATGGTGCAGATCGAGGGCGGAGAGATGTGGGGGACGTTACCTTTTTTTTCTCGATGTTTCTAATTTTGTGTTTAAGACATATGAGTCCATTATCAATATAGGTCTCATATGCCTGGGAAGGAGAGGCAGGAGATGTGAGCGCCGACGGCAGGGGGCTTAGGGGTCTGCTCTCCCCATGCTCATTGTGGTTCACTGGGGGCTTGACCGACTTCATGTCCCCCTCACTTCCCTCTTCTGAAGCTCCTGAGGGTGACTGGTAACCAAAAGGAGATGAAGAAAGTCGCACCATTGAAGCAAGTGATGCTGCAGGAAGAAGAGGGAAAAAGTTAAGTATAAAATTAAATCAGACGCACAAGGTTATGTCCAAGCTTTAACTTGCCCAAAACGTCTGAAGTGAGGCCTCAAAATTCTTTCTCAGAAAAGTGAGCTCCAGGCCCAGGGCTACTTTGGCCCAATGCTTCACTCACACTACCTCTCCTGCTATGAGTAACCAGCATCAGCGCCTCGCTGAGGCAAAGCTACTGCACAGGGTACGTTTCCAGAACTCAATTTCCACTAGTGAGGAAGGGGGCTGCTCTCCACATGGTTAGGCGAGAACACTGTGGCGCGAAGGCCGCCGGCCGCACCCCCTCACACAGCCCCTCACCACTGGCCCCCTGTCGTCAACCACCACGACAATGAAAGGAAACCCCAAACGCCACAGTTCTCCGCGCCTCGCAGACTGCTCTAGGCCAGCAGGTGCGTCGTCAGCAACAGACCCGGTAACACGGCGGCACCCCAGGTTGCGCGGGCCCAAGGGGCTCCGCTGCATCTGCGGGAAACACCTCGCCTGGGTGGCGCCTCCCCGGAGAAGAACACCCCCCCGCCCCACAGGCGGCGCGGGCGCCACGAGGCCTGCTCGCGCGGCGACCCCCGCGACCCCCGCCCGGCACCGCCCAGCTTCACCTCCGCGGACCGCCGCAGCCCACACCCGCCTGCTAGAGACCTGCGGCAGGGAGGTCTCTGCGGGAAACACGTCGCCTGCCGCGCCGCCTCGCACCCACGTCTCCTCCCCCCGAGTTCTCCCGCGCCCCTCCGAGTCCTCGCTGAGCTGCGTACGCGAATACCGTCTCCAACCAACCCAGCCGCTGCGGTCCAGGCGCGCCAGCCGCGGGGCACGCTTATAAAGGCGCGTTCCGCCCCTCAGCACGCGGCTTCTATAGGCTGGTCTCTAGGCCCGCCCCCTGCCCCGCGCGCCACCTCTATAGGCTGGTCTCGAGGCCCGCCTACCCCCGCGCGCGACTTCCATAGGCTGGTCCCGAGTGCCGCCCCTGTATGCGGCTTCTATAGGCTTTGCCCGCCTCCCGCGCACCCGCGCGGCTCCCATAGGCTGGCCTAGGCCCCGTTCCCGCCCG